CTGCCCTAGGTTCCACACTAGTTGCCGTACCTGTAACCCAACTAGGAGGTTACCCATATAAACCCTCTGGCTTTCCTTATTGTAATAAAGTTTTTATTATAATATTATATTAATAAAAAAAAAACAATAAAAAAAAATATATATAGTCAAACCTTTCTATAATTACACACTTGGAATATATAAAAACATGATTGTAAAAAAGTGTAACAATTATAGAGGTTAAATTTATTATATTTAATATAGTTTGTTTTTAAATAAATGTGTTTATAAAGAAAATATACTTATATAGGAGGTAACTATAGAGAGGTTTGACTATATATATAAATTTTGTATTTTCATACAAATTAATAAATTATGTTTTTGGGTTTTTTATATAACTTTTGTAAAACCTAATAAAAATACATGAAATTTTAATATATTATACTTTAAGATCTGCTGATCATATAATGTAAATTTCATGTTGTAGTTACTTACCTAATTTTGAGAGATAGCTGCCTAAAAAGTGTCTGTAATAATATAGTACTTTATTGTATATTATATTTATTTTATTTTTAATTAGAATAAGCTTCATGATACTGGTATAAAAAAATTATTTATAATTAAAAAAAGCATTCTTTATTTTTATATTTTGTCTGTTTTGTAAAAAGAAAAAAATATAGAGTGTGGCGACTTAGTGAAGTGGTGGAGTTGTCACACCCTCAGACAGCAGGTCTAGAGTTCGAATCCCACAGACGACGATTTTGAAAAAAAACTAAATTTGTATCGGTTAACGTTAAGATTATCAGTTGGATCCAGATATCTGTAATCTTGGTCACACCATCTCGAATAGAATAGAGATTCAATCCGGATAAATCTATCATCTATTTATCCATATCTGAGTTATCCGGATAATTCCAGATAGGCCAAATATCTGGATAATCTAGATAATCTAATGGATATTCGGATAATTATCCAGATATCAATAGTAAATGGATATCTGGATAAATTTTGGATGGATGTGGATAGCGGATATCCGGATAACGGATAATGGATTGAAACTCTAAACCAACATTTATTTGTAAAATGCTTTTTAATTTGAGTAAAATGAAATTGCCAATTCTAATTAATTTGAAATATTTATTTTTACATAACTTAATATTATTATTAAATTGATAATTAAATCTTTGACCAATATCTTCATTTATTTGATTATATTCGAATGCTATAAGTTGACCCATTAAAAGTAATTCTTTTTTTATCTAAACCATGAAACTGTATTTAGTCAGACCTCTCTAAGTGCACACTCTTGGGACCACACTTTAATAACGTTCATATAAAGAATACAGGCAGACCTCTCTAGGTGCACACCCTGGGATCACGCTTTAATAACATGCATATAGAGAATAATAAGAAAAAGTGTATTTATGGAGTCAAGTATATATTTGGGCTGGCACTTGAGTGTGCATTTAGAGAGGGTGCATTTAGAGTGGTCTGACTATATGTCGTTCCAAAAAAACATTGAAGCCCAACTTTTTCAAACCATTGTTTGGTTTTTCTCATCCTGCATTCACAACTTTTAGACTGAAAGAAGTTAATAAATCTTGTACAACTTCTTGTACTAATTCATTATTCTCATACTTATCCAGGCCTAATTCTTCTAGAGAGAGATTTGGTAAAGACATCGTTATGTAATTTTTATTAATGAAAAGAAATAAATCTTATATAAATAATATTTATGCAGACTTTATTTCTAAAAGCATAAAATATATGATCAGTAAATAATACCAATTAGTAATCACATCTAAAAATAAATCAGCAAAATTTTAAGTAGTACAAAATTTAATCGCATTTTTCTTAAAATTAAAAACTACCCTTCAATCTGTGGTTTTCCTAGAAAATGACCCATATACTTATACCGATATGTACCGATATATAGTAAAAATATTTTTTATATAATCGTATCAAAAATAACTATGTATGCTGCACGTTGAAATAGAATTTTGGTATATTTAGAATCAACTTAAGATACACTTGAGATGAAACGAAGGTTTAAATTCACTCAATCTTTGAACTTAAAAGTTATCACATAGAGCACACTAAATATTTAAATTAAGAGCGTTTGAATTCAATTTATAATAAACAGCAATACTTCGCAAAGCAATTTATGTATTATTCTAGCCAGATATTCTGGTCAAACTAATTATTGCAAGCGTAATCATTAGGATGATAGCTACTTCCGCGAGGCAATTTTTCCTTTTTACATTTGCAGCGATTTACATTATGCTACGATTCGGGAAATTGTTTAGGACCTAAAAAGAAATCTTTGTTCATGTGACAGATATACCCGAGTTTGATTAAGAAATTTATTAGTTATAATTGGTTTTGCACAACTAGATTGAAAATTTCATTTTGTACTAATTGTTCAACTCTTTAACGAATATTATGAAATATAACTTACTACTCAGCTCAGAAATCAACAAAAAAACAAAAATTTATTTTTTAATTTAGAGTTTGAATTTAAATTGCATATCCGCATCCCATAGTTTCGAAAAACTAATGTTCCTTGATATAACTATTACGGCGCATTTGTGGAATTAAGGAAATTAGGCAGATATAGTAGGAGGATGGGTTGAATGGTGGGAAGATGGGTTAGACTTTATGTTGCCATAAACTGGGGTGAAAAAAAATTTGGGATTTAGTTTTAAATAATAATTTAGTAATTGAATATTTGGATTGGGGACAAAATATGAAGTCAAATTAAATGACTTACTATAGGTAGTCAAATTTTTTCAGATTTGGGGGTAGTTTACAAATGCGCCGTAATGCTACAATGAATGTCATATTTTATGTCGACAGGACACACCAAAAATTTAATTGACAATATTCCAAGATTTCATATCAGTGTATTTTTTGACCTAATGATCTTTAGCGGTTCCAATAGTTGTATTCACTGGACTTTTTAAAAAAAAGCAAAGGCATAACTGATTTTTTTACCCTCTGTCCGTCTATCGCCATGGTCGACCATTGGACATTACGCTTGATGAAACCAATTCTATCACAATTTTCTATCGATATGCTAGAAATTATTGTCAACTTTATCGCACCAGCAAATATTAATCCTTGACTAAAGCCAATTTTTGTTTCATAATAAACTTTTACACAAAAAGTTTTTTTTTTTTTTTTTTGTATATGTCGTAAGTGGAAAAGAAGTTAAGTTGATTCTAAATTTTTAAGGTTAGGGTTGGGATTTTTAGTGTTATTATTCTGTTCTAATATACGAACCTATTATGATTCCATTTCACTTACAATATACTTGTTAAGTGTAATTTAATTTCTATCCAACCGAGTCAGTTAAAAATTCCAATGCAACACTTTGAATCGAAATCTGATTTGACGCACGACATGTCGCAGAAACTAGTTGTAATTGTATATATGTTACGGGTCAAGTTGGTTTTTAGGTCAAGTTAAACTTGACCCGGTCAAGTTAATCAAATTTGAATTAATATAAATTTATTAATTTGACTCGGTTAAGTTAATTTGACTGAGTCAAATTAAACAATTTTACCGAAATAAATTTTATGCATATAAAAATAAAGCAACGATGAATTTGTGCAATATAAAAAGCTAAGCTACTATCTACTGCTACGTACGTATATGCTAAATATCGAATATATAAAATAATACTGCACTATTTATTTTGGCAAATTATATTGTTGCCACCATGACATCTACTACATTTTAAGTTATTTTTACTGCAAGCACAACGCTTTGAAAGACAATTCCCTTTACAATGACAAACTGCCTTACTTACAAATATACCGCTTTGTTTAATAGCAGCTGTATGTAACGAAAGTTTGGTGGATGGTATTTCAGCCAATTCGGGATAATCAGATGATTCTAATAGATCTATATCACATGCACGAAAACAAGTATCTAAGATGCCATTAGTACAACCAAGCTTATAATACCCATCCTGAAGAACTTCCAATACTTTACAAGGTAAAGATTTTTGATCAGTATTAGTTCGATCAATTTTTGGAACTGGAACCTTGACATAATCTCCGATTTCAAAAGTAACTTTTCTTTTTGAATTCGATTTAGATTCCATTACACCACGAATTATTTCTCTGTTATGTTCTAAATTTTTTCATACTGTGTTAAAAATTTATTGAAAAGTAGAAATAGTTTCATAATTTTCTTTGTCATCGCCAGTTTCCTAAGTATTGTAAAGCATTTAAATTTGATAATTATTTTGTTTTCTATTATAATTAAATAATAATTACTTCAATTGTATTTTCATTTTCATGTACTTGACAATCTATTTCGTTCATATTATTATTATTGTCATTGGTTAAATCAACAGTTTCTTGATTATCAATCTAATATATTATATAATTATTATTATTATTGTTATAAATTAATATGTTAATAATTATAAATTTTACCTGTTGTGATATAATAATTTAAAACCTGATTCATTATCATTGTCAGTATCTGTATCATTTATTGTATCACAATTTTCTAAAATTGGTTCGATTTCTAAAGCAATATTTTCTGGAATATCTTCTTCACAGGTACAATTTTGAAAATAAAGAGCTTCAACTATAGGAAGATTGCATCGAGGTTTTTGCCCAAATATGATTTCATATAGTGTATGTTTTGTTGCATGTGAATATTCATGTGAATATTCTGTATTCATTGCATCTAAATTAAAATGTGCATAAAATTATGCTTTTAAATACGATACTATATATAATTAAAAAATAACCAGTTTGTTCTTGATATTTAATATGTAAAATACATACAAATACACAAACTAAGTCCTGTACTCCAATCTATTCGCTTAGTATCTTCTAACCATTTAGAAAGTTTTCTTGATAGCGTATTATTAGCTTTTTCAATTAACCCTTGTAATTGAGGATGTCTGGGCCTTCCTCTTATAATTTTTAATTCAGGCCAAATTTTTAAAAGCTCTGTAATTATTTGAGCAACAAATTCCATTCCATTATCGCTTTGCAGAATTGTTGGGGCTCCAAACCAGCTAAAAACTTGAAACAGAATAACTGCAACATCAAATGCACATTTAGACTCTAATGGAACTGCCCAAGAAAAATGAGAAAAATGATCTCGTGCATGTGCAATATATTTCCAAGATCCATCAGGGCGAGAGCTTAAATCAAGAAGATCAATCTAAATAAAATTTAAGCTAATAAATAATAATAATATATTACTGTAAATTATTATATATAATATTTACCTGAACTCGGGTCATAAAATGATTAGCAATAATTGGTTTTGCTTTGATTAATCATTTAAGAAGTCATCTTGTTCACAAGAATTACATTTTTTAGTAAATTCTTCAATAAGTGCTTGTGGAACATATGAATAATGTTGAGAAATCTTTGAACAAAAAAAAGCTAATATTAGTATTAAATATTTTTATTTATTTAATAAAAATATATAATTTAAAATTTAGTTACTGCATCATAAGTTTTCACATAGCCGCCATGTCCAATCATCTGATGATAAGCACAAATATGCTCATATAAATCTTCTTTTAAACAAACTTCTTTTTGATTCTTTTTTTTTAATAAGTTTTTTTTTTCATTTCCAATATGCATTAGCAATACATTTTTTTTGGTCCAATTACATAAACTTGAATTTTTTAGTTCATTATTAGTAGGATTTTCTAAAATTTTAATACATTTTTCTGCACGTTCACGGCTAATTACTGTAGATTCTTGATATTTGGGAGCTTTTGATTGAATAAATTCAGTAAGTATGTTATTAAATGTTTTTCGTGACATAAAATTATATTCGCGAAGGGTACTAGTATTAGAAGATTCCATTATTTTGTAAAAAAAAAAAATTAGAATTGTAAATGAATTTTAATCTTTAATCGTATTTACAAAAATTATTTGTTACACGATATAGTTTATATTATTACATCGCATAATATATCTGTAATGATTTATCATTCAACTTGATCCGATCAAATTAACTTACCCGAGTCAAATTAATAAATATACATTGATTCAAATTTGATTAACTTGACCGGGTCAAGTTTAACTTGACCTAAAAACCAACTTGACCCGTAACATATATATGGGTAAAATTTTTACATATTTTTACATATTCATGCGAAGCAGTCAATAACGGAAATTATTTGTAAAATAATTCGCTATCGCTATTTGGCAGTTAAGTTTAATATACCAGTTTCTGGACCCCTTCGGAATCCAAAACTGCCACATATTAAATTCAATGCCAGATAAACAAGTTATTGGCTGAGTAGCATGGTACTATCCGGTATCTTACAACAGCCGAACCAACAGAATGACTTGAGTCCTTTTGGTGATGATTGCGCCATCATCAAATAGTTTCGTTATTTGATGATGATACAATCACCTTCAAAATAATTCAAGTTATTCTGTTGGTACGATCATAGTAAAGTGCCGGATAACATTCATATTTTTACATATTAATTTCATCATGATTATCGTTATATTAAATAGAAAATTTTCAAATTTATTTTTAAAAATATTTGTTGTTATGTTTTTTAAATTATTGTCTGTATGCTTACAATAAGTAATTTATCATCATCATCATATTAAAGCTCTAACGTCCGTTTATTCCACTGGAAAATCAAAAATTTCCAACATAGTCATACACTGTATAAGGCTTAGATCTCATGGTCAGACATTCGTTTGATTGGCTAATGTAAATCAATTGCCCGGGTAACCTATTTATACACTTTAAAAGTACAGTACTTTTTGATAATGTAACGTTTCACTAATAAAAAATCACCACAAAAGCCATTCCTAGCTTTAAACGAACGTTAATATTCACTGTGCAAAAGAATCT